ATTTATATATAAATCGCTCGTTATTCCACCGTAGCTTCAGCGACCATTGTTTTGAAATAAACACAGGAACAAAACACAGGACACTGAGCCTTTAGACCAGTGTTTCTCAACCTTGGCGACTTTAAGTCCTCTGGACTTAAAGTCCCAGAATCCCCCAGCCAGCACAGCTGGCTGGGGGATTCTGGGACTTGAAGTCCAGAGGACTTAAAGTCACCAAGGTTGAGAAACACTGCTTTAGACAATTAATAGTGATTTATATATAAATATATACAGACATACACATGGTAGGTAAATCCCTTATCACTCAGCTACGGACACAAGGAGAGAAATGAGATATATGAAGAGAGAGAGAAACACCCTCTAATGGCCACCTATATATAGACACCTCTTAAAAGGGTAAATGACTTGTGTGGACCCCACCAGAGCCTTAAATAGGCGATATATGTAATGCTGAATCATCCTCGTTGCATCAGCTTACGGTTTACGACTTACAACCTTACATCAGCGGGCAGCTATGAAATCCTCCTCCCATTTAAAGCTGAACAAGCTGATAATCCAAACGCTTTGACAGAGTCTTCGTACTTTACACCCAGATATAGGAGCTACCAAAATTTGACTTCCAAAGACCGAAACCTACCATTGCAATGTGGCATATGATGCTCCATGATGGTTTCCGTGTATTTCGCTGCTGCTGTTACCTACAACAGCAAGAAGGAACAAGTCAAAAATCGGAGCTAGAGAACATAAAGAAAATCCCCAAGATTGGTGGTGAGGGGACTAGAATGGAAGTAGAAACTATGTTCTCCCCACCCCCCCCCCCAAAAAAGGGAATTTGGGGAGCCAAAAAGCTGTTTACTCTTTGAAAAAATAGAAAAAAATAGATATTATTTCCATCCAAGCTAGGCTCTCCTCCATAATTCCCAGTTCTGCAACGGATGCTTGCAATACCTCTTTGCAATGTCCAACATTTGGGAGAAGACCGTCTTAAAGGTGTGACCCCCTCCTCCCCCCCCCAGGTATCTTAAATAGCTTCAAGCTTACATCTCCACTGGGGGAAGAAAGTTCCACGGTCCTGTAAAGAGAAGAAGGAGAGGGGAGAATCTATCTGTGATATGTGATTTTACCTCGTCCACTTCGGTGGACTCACTTAACGTTTCTGACAAACCAGCATGGATTCGCTTCCAGAGAGGATGGCAAAAAGTCAAGATGGCAGCCAGAAGGGTGTGAAGGAAGAAGCCCCCTCGGGAATTTACGTGCCAACAGCCAGACCTTTGAATAAACTCCTGTGTCCCCCCACCCCCACCCACTGTGGGCTTTCAAAACATGGAAAGTTCCCATGATTGGGTTGTCCTTTTGATTTGACTCTCCTAAATTCCCGAAAAGATTGAGAAGATGGAAAGAGAGAGAAGGATGGGAGGGAAGGGAAAGGGGAGGGGAAGGGAGAGGGGAAGAAAAGGGAGAGGAGGAGAGGGGAAAGAGAGAGGAGGGGACAGGAAGGGAAGGGAAGGGAAGGGAAGGGAAGGAAGGAAGGAAGGAAGGAAGGAAGGAAGGAAGGAAGGAAGGAAGGAAGGAAGGGGAAAAGAGAGAGGAGGAGACAGGAAGGGAGAGGGGAAGGGAGGGAGGGAGGGAGGGAAAAGGAGAGGGGAGGGAGGAAGGAAGGAAGGAAAGAAGGAAGGAGGTCAGGAAGGAAGGAAGGGGAAAGGAGAGAGGAGGAGTGGGAGAGGGAAAGGGATGGAAGAAAAGGGAAGAAAAGGAGGGAGGGGGAGGGAAGGTAGGAAGGAAGAAAGGAAGGAAGAAAAGAGATAGAGGAAGGGAACGAGAGGGGAAGGGGAAGGGAAGGAGGGAGGGAGGGAGGGGAAGGAAGTTATTTCCTAAAAACATCTTATTCTTTATCCCCCCAAAAATGAAAAACCTAAAGATCAGCTCTTGGATTTTCTCTTCCGTTCAGGCCTTCTTCCATTCCCATCCTAGTTGGATTTTGGGTGCGGATGATCTTCTTCGCATGAAACTTTGAATCTACACATTCTCCAGAGATTAACATCCCCCCCCCCCCCCCCCCAGCCGCCCATAATGTCCTTGCTGCAAGGTTTCCCCAGTGGAATCCATCCTCTACAGGAGAGACCATCATCGTTCAACAACAACAAAAACACCACCCATGTTTGGGGGTATCTTTGGGGCTCATTTTGCAAAGCAGCCCAGAGCTTGGAGGAGACCCCCCCAAGGCCCCCTCCTTCCGCTGGGCTCTGCAGAGCAAGAAGGTTGCATACTTGCAAGATCCGGCTTTCAGGTTGATGGCCAGGTGCTCCTGCTCAGTGGCAAAAGTGACGCTGCAGTCGTGCTTCTAGAATTGAAAAGAGGAAGAAGAGGAAGAGAGCGGAGGCCCTCAGAGGCCTGACAAGGTTTTTGGTCCAAGAGGAGCATTACATTTTCCTTCCTTCCTTCCTTCCTTCCTTCCTTCCTTCCTTCCTTCCTTCCTTCCTTCCTTCCTTCTCTTCTCTTCTCTTCTCTTCTTTTCTTCCTCCTTTCCTTCCTTCCCACTTTCCCTTCTTCCTTCTGCCTTCCTCTCTGCTCCCTTTCACCTTCCCTTCTTCCTTTCTTCCTTCCCCTTCCTTCCTTCTTCCCTCCATCCCTTCTTATTTCCTATCTATTCTTCTTCCTTCCATCCTTCCTTCCTTGTGATTCCCTTCTTCTCTTCCTTCCTCCTCTCCTTCCTTCCTTTCCACTTTCCCTTCTCCCTTCCTCCCTTTTTCCTTCTTCCTCTTCTCCTTTCTTCCTCCCCTCCCACTTTCCCTTCTTCCTTCCTGCCTCCACCCCTTTCACCTTCCCTTCTTCCTTCCTTCCTTCTCACCTTCCTTTCTTCTCTTCCTTCCTTCCCACTTTCCCTTCTTCCTTCTGCCTTCTTCTCTGCTCCCTTTCACCTTCCCTTCTTCCTTTCTTCCTTCCCCTTCCTTCCTTCTTCCCTCCATCCCTTCTTACTTCCTATCTATTCTCCTTCCTTCCATCCCTCCTTCCTTGTGATTCCCTTCTTCTCTTCCTTCCTCTTCTCCTTCCTTCCTTTCCACTTTCCCTTCTCCCTTCCTCCCTCCCTTTTTCCTTCTTCCTTCCTCTTCTCCTTTCTTCCTCCCCTCCCACTTTCCCTTCTTCCTTCCTGCCTCCACTCCTTTCACCTACCCTTCTTCCTTCAAATCTTCTTCCCTCCCTCTTTCTCATCTTTCCTTCTTCCTCTCTCCCTCCCTCCCTCCCTCCCTCCCCAAGTTGCTCCAAAGTAGAAGAGTTCTCCTCTGCCCTCAGAACCTAATTCTCATTGTAGCAGATGTTTTATGAAGCCCATCTAACATTTCTCCACATCTGCATTTTCAAATCCTCCTTCCCCCCCACTCCCCCATCGCTGTGGATTGAGGTCCGTTCCCAGGCTCCTGGTTAGCTTTCTATACTAAACAACGTTCCACAACTTTCCAGGACTTAAACCTCCTCAAGGTTATTTTCTCTTCAGGCGTTGGGATTGCCAAGAACATCGGGAAGGACTTCCCTTCCGTACAAGCCCATCCTGGCTGGTACACTCAGTTCCTCCAGACTGGGAAGGCACCTTGGGGGGGGGCTGGAGGTGGGAAGAGTTAAATAGATGCTCCCTAATTATCTAAGTAGGCATCTGAAGAACTCCATGGCGCAGCCTTGATGGAGAGGTAGAATAGAATAGAAGAACAGAGTTGGGAGGGACCTTGGAGGTCCTCTAGTCCAACCCCCTGCCTAGGCAGGAAACCCTACACCACTTCAGACAAATGGCTGTCCAATCTCTCCTTAAAAATTTCCAGTGTTGGGGCATTCACAACCTCTGGAGGCAACTTCTGTTCCACTGGTTAATTGTTCTCACTGTCAGGAAGTTTCTCCTCAGTTCTAAGTTGCTTCTCTCCTTGATTAATTTCCACCCATTGCTTTTTGTCCTGCCCTCAGGTGCCTTGGACAATAGCTTGGCTCCCTCTTCTTTGGGGCAGCCCCTCAAATATTGGAAGATGCTCTCCTGTCTCCCCTGGTCCTTCTTCTCTTCCCTAGACCAGCCAGGCCCAGTTCCTGCAACCGTTCTATGTTTTAGCCTCCAGTCGCCTAATCCTCTTGGTTGCTCTTCTCTGCACTCTTTCTAGAGTCTCCATATCTTTTGTTTACGTTGTGGTGACCAAGGGGCCTTTGAATGGATTCTAAACTGGGGTCGCACTTCATCTCTTTCCTCTGCCTGAAACCAGAGTTTCATTGAGCCAAGGTGGCGCAGTGGTTAGGGTGCAGTACTGCAGCCACTTCAGCTGACTGCTAGTTCTGCAGTTCGGCGGTTCAAATCTCACTGGCTTAGGGTTGACTCAGCCTTCCATCCTTCTGAGGTGGGTGAAATGAGG